GCGCCAGGTGCAGGGCTCCCCCCGAGAAGTCCGCGCGGAGCTCCCGAGGCTTCGGTGATGTGCCCGTGTCTGCTCCTCGGGCCTCGCTCTCCTCGGGGTACTGGCTGACGGCCGAGAGCCCGAGGCCCTCGGTGAGGCCCTCTATCCTCGCCGGCCGCACGCAAAGAGCAACCCTGGGGGGAGGGGTGACCCCTGCTGCGCGGCCTGCCGACCGACGCAGTGCGACGCGACAGTCCCGGCCTGCGTGCTTGCGCTGTGCCCCTCGCGCGCGCCCCCACAGCCTATCCCGCCCAGTGATCCCGAGGCCGCAAAGCCGACGAGAACCCACGAAAGCATCCGATAGCCTCGAACCTCGAACCTCGATGCCAACCCCTCGATCTCCACGTTCCGCACCTTCCGCTCGGCAGGTGCCGCGCCGCGGCGGCCGCCGCCGAGGTCGCAGCGGCGGCACCTGCCACGCGGAGGGCACGGACAGGTGGAGATTCGAGGGCCGAACGCCGCGCGCCAGAGGCCCACTGCGGCGAAGGGCCACAGGTCTCGCGTTAGGCCGCTCCTCAGGTGCACCGCCCCCGCGCCGGCGCCGCGCAGCTGGCGCTCTGGGATGGCGTGGTCGGTGGTCGCGCTGAGCGGCCCGGCCCAGACGAGGGAGTCCCCAGGCCTCTTGGACTGCAGCAGCTGCGCCGCGTCGCGGGGCAGGCCGACGAGGGCGGCGGACACCGAGGTCGGGGGCAGCGCGTCGGCGGCGGCGCCGAAGACGCAGAGCACCTTCACCCACTTGGCCAGCAGCGTCTGGCCCGCGCCGCTCAGGCTCGACTCGAGCACCATGCGCAGCGCCCTGGAGAGCTCCGCGGACAGGCTGGGGTTGCGCTCCGCCCGCCCCTCCTGCGGAGGGGCGCCGGCGGACCGCCGCAGAGATACCGGCCGGGGCCACCCCTGGGCCCTCTGCGCCCTGCTGGCCAAAGCAGGAGGGCGCAGACACCGATCCTGGGCCCAAGATGGGCCCTGTCAGGCCGGGCGGAGTGGTCTCCTGACATCTGCCGATCGGATGTTTGCATCAGTGGCCCGAGAGGCCTCTCCCCTTTCCACGGGGGTAGTCTTCCGCCCCAGGTCCGTTTTCCTGGACTCGGGGCCCCATAGCGGGCCCCAGATCGAGGCCGAAACCGAAGAAAAACGGCGGGATTGGAAACATCAGATCGTCCGAAATCTGGGGTAGTCAGCCGACGCCCGCGGATCCTGGAGGACCCAGACGTCCTTAATCCGATCTCTATACGCCCCGTACGCGATCCGCTGCTCCTGCGGCGTGCCGGAGCCCCGCGCGGGGCAGTCCGGGAACAGCATCATGCGGTCGGTGTCGACGTCCTCCTGCGTGTAGAGGAGGGCGGACAGCATGAGCAGCGGCAGCTGCCTGCGGGAAAAGGCCGGCCAGAGCAAGCAAGAGGCAACGCCGGATCAAGGACCGTAGCTTGAAGAGAGCGTCGCCAAGCATCGCTGCAGCGCAAGGGCTGCGAAACCGGCAGGCATTCAGCAGCCAGTCTTGCCCGCGAACGCGGCCGAAACTCGGGCTACCGATTCGGAGGAGAGGGAGAGGAGGAGTTGGAGGAGGAGCAGGGGGAGGAGGTGGAGGAGGAGCAGGAGGAGGAGGGCGCGATGCAGCTGAAACGAGGAGGAGGTGGAGCGTGGCGGAAGAGGTCCCGTCCGACCTACCCGCTGCTACAGCTGCTGCTGCACTCCTCCCCGAGCTGAAACGAGGAGGAGGAGGAGGAGGAGGAGGAGGAGGAGAAGGAGAAGAAAGAGAAAGGGGAGCACCCAGCGGCAACTCGCCTGGCCCAGGACGCACAAGGACGCGCTAGCACTCTAGTGCTTGTGTTGAAGGCGCCGGTCCTGCAAGAACGCAGACTATTAAGAATATCGTAGAGTAAAATCCTTTCCCAGGAGGCATGGCCAGAAAGCGCCCGCCTCCTCGCACAGAGGGTAAGGCTTCCAGGGAGCTCCAGGGGCCGGCGAGTCCAAGAAACCAAGTCGTCGGTGTAGATATCCGTCGGCGTCGTCGTCGTCGTCGTCGTCGTCCTGGTCGTCGTCGTGGTCGTGCCGTGATCGTTGTCGTGGTCGTGGCCGTGGTCGTGGTCGTGGGTATGGTCATATACCGTAAGGTCTCTGAGGGTGCACGTCGCCCCTGCGGGGCCGACGCACACTTAGTACGAGACTGCTTGGGGTGATGCCGAGCCTCCGACACGGCCAGGAGGCCCCCAGAAAAGGCCCCCAGAGAGGCCCCAGAGACGCCTACAAGAAGGCTCCAAGAAGCCCCCAAAGATGCCCCAGGAAGGGGGCTCCAGAAATGCCCCCGCGAGCACGCACAACGATGCTACAATATGGGCAGGCGAGATGAGCGAAGCGATTCCGCCGCCCCACCGGGTACGGCGTGTGAGACCCCCACCGAATGGTCTGCAGGGGCTCCTTCCACTCAGTCATTTTCTGAGCATTGTCTTAAGGGTGGAGGGCTCGGGGTGAAATCCATATGGGCTTTTGCACCTCGAGAATCAATCCGTCTTCTGATTCACCTTCTGCAGATTCGAGCCTCGAAAATCGATCGAAACGGCCTTCCAGATTTCACCCTTTGCCCCCCACCCAGAGAACCTACTCGGAGTTTACATACTCGCTCCTCGTACCCAGCTCCTTCCAGAGAGCCCTCGAACCCCCTCCCAAGGTCCTCCCCGCGGCCTGCCCACTCGGCCGGCCCAGGGACCCCGGCTGCGGACTGGGCCCGCGAGCCGCGATTTTCACATCCACTCGCGCATGCCTTCGCGCAAGCGACCTCTGCACGCCTCCGGGCGCCGTTTGTGGCCTCTCTGAAGGCCCTCCCGGACAGCCTGTGTAGCCTCTGACGGCATCCTGAGCCCTCCGGCCGCCTGAGGCCCCGCCCGCCCGCGCCCTGTCTCCCCAATTAGGGCTACTCGCGTCCCGTTTAGCTCTTGACGGGAAGGGGGGCCCGCCCGCTCCCGACCCGCAGACCAAAAAACTCTGTAGCCTCTTGCAGCCCCCTTGAGCTCATTCGGACCGTCCCGAGCCCTCATGGTCCGTTTCGGACCCCTCTATTCAAGTCGTTTTGAGCCGAACGCCCGACGAGGCCAAAAACCGGCCAAAACCACAGAGACTTTCATGATTTTGGCTGTCTCGAGCTTCCCTCTGTACCTCTTAGAGCTCTCTTGAAGCAACGTGTGACACCCTTGGGGCCGCTCTGGCCACGTTGGAATACCTCCACGGGCTTCTGGGCCGTCCTGAAGGCCTCACTGTTCCATCTTGTGCCGTATGGCCGCCCTTCTGCGCCCTCTTGAGCCGTCTTGGGCGCGCCCGGGGGGGTCCCTGGATGCCTTCCTGGGGCCCCAAAACTAACTGGCGAGGCCTCCTTCTTACCTCTCCGTATCCCTCTCCCGTTTCGCCTGCCGTTTTCGGCACCTTTGGGTGCCCTTTCTGGTCCGTGTTCGGAGCATCCTGAGGCTATCGTCGGGCCCTCCCAGGCACTGTGTTGCGTTCTTGGGGGCCCGCTGGGGCTGTCTTGACACCCCTCCTCTGGCCCTCTGAATCTTTCAGTTGCCCTCCTTAGGGGGCCACATGCGAACCCTACCCCTCCCCCTCAGAAATCGTGGGGGGGTAGGGGTAGGGTTCGCATATGGCTCCCTACTCCTCTTCCTCCGCCGAGCCTCCCAACGTCTCCACGTTCCCGAAGACGCGGGGCGGCGGAGAGGCCCGGAGAGACCCCCCAAAAGGTCCCCAAGACGCACCCCAAAATGGCTCCCAAAAGGCTTTCAAACGGCCCCCAAGAGGCCCCATGCGACACCCATACGAACATGCTTGAGGCCCATGGCCCACAACCCAAGCACGGTGGCGGAATGGGCCGAACGCCAGCTTAAGACAGCCTCAGAAGCCGCCAAATGGCCTCAATGACGGCCCAAGAGGCCTCCAAGAGGTAGTCCAGGAAGGCCCGAAGAGGCCAAAATCATTGATGCTCCATGTGTTTGAAGGATTTTTGCGTTTGCTTCTTTTAAGCGCTCCGACGGTCCAAGACGGCCCAAGAGGCCCCCAAGATCGCCCCAACATGGCCCAAAAGGCCTCCAAGATGGCCCCATGACGGCCCAAGAAGCCTCCAAGACGGCCCCAAGAGGGCCCCAAGACGGCCCAATAGGCCTCCAAAACGCCCAAGATGGCCTCCAAGATGGCCCTGAAGAGACCCAAGAGGGAACCAAGTCGGTTCAGAGAGGCCCTAAAGCTGTATCCGACGGCGTCAGACGGACTAGGAACGCCCTAAGAAGGCCAAAGAGGCCCCCAAGAAGCCTCGAAAGGCTCCAAAAAGGCCCACGGAGGCTCCCAAGAGGCGTCCAAAATGTTCCCAGGAAGCTTGCAGGAGGCCCAAGAGGGTTCCGAGAGGCCCTTCTCCTCCTCCTTATCCTTCTCTGTTTCCTTGACCTCCTCATACTTATTGTAATCCTCTTCCTCATCCTCTTCCTGGTTCTCCTCTTTCTCCTCCTCTTTCTCCTCCTCCTCCTCCTCCTCCTCCTCCCCCTCCTCCTCTCTCTCCTCCTCCTCCTCCTCCTCCTCCTCCTCCTCCTCCTCCTCCTCCTCCTCCTCGTCGTCCTCCTCCTCCTCCTCCTCCTCCTCCTCCTTCTCCTCCTCCTCCTCTCTCTCCCTCTTCTCTGATCTTCAACCCCATCATCCCCCAAGTGTTTCCCGAAGAGTTTTCAGTAAGCCTGGTGGAGGGGAATCAATAATCCGATAGTTTGGCTGAGCTGCGCCCAAGAGTCCTCTTCCTCATCCTCCCCTTCTTCCCCTACGTGCTCCCTGAAGCGTTTGCACACTGAATGTGGAGTCTTCATATGCACAGTGTGTACATGTCTGTGTTTCTTCTGATCCTCCACCCCACTATCCCCCAAGTGTTCCCCGAAGAGTTTCGAATGTGCCTGGGGGAGGGGCATACAAGTCTGGTAGTTTGGCGAAACTGCGCCCAAGAGTCCTCTTCCTCACCCTCAGATCTGCCCCTACGTGTTACTCGAACGGTTTCCACACCAACTGGGGGAACATAATATTCCCATCGCTTGGCTGAGGTGTGCGCTTGGTTTCCTGTGCATTTTGAACTATCGGCACGCTGACCAGGAAACGTTGGGTACGACTTCAGAAGCTCAACATGCGAAACTCGCATTGTGGAGTCTCCAAATGGACTCCAAGACGCTCAAGATGGCCTCCAAGATGCCAAAGACGGCCTCCAAGACGGCCCAGAAGCGCTCTAAGAGAGTCCAAAGTCGATTCAGAGAGGCCCCCAAGACTGTATCCGACGGCGTCAGGCGGGCCAAGAACGTCCTAAGACGGCCAACGAGGCCCCCAAGAAGCCTCGAAAGGCTCCCCAAAAGCCCAAGGAGGCTCCCAAGAGGCGTCCTAAAGGTTCCCGGGAAGCTTTCGGGAGGCCCCTAATGTGGCCTAAGAGGGTTCCGAGAGGCCTGCTCCTGCCTCTCTCCTTTTTCTCCTGTGTCCTCCCTCTCCTCCTCGTCATCCCTGTCCTCCCCCACGTGTTCCCCGAAGGGCTTCCACAACGGCTGGGGGAACGCATAGTCCAATAGCGTGGCCAAACTTTGCCCACATGTTTGGCCTCGTAGGCGTATCCTAGAAGGCAGGGGGCGGCGGTGATTCGCCGTAAGCGTCTTCGATAATGCCCACAGAGCCCCAGCTCAACTCACGAATCCGGGAAAGAATGTAGACACGTTCAGCAGGGCTGAATCTACACGATGTTTTTCATTTTCGTGTTGTTTTCGTGCTCCCTCGTTTTGTCTCCAATCTGCCTTTACCGCATTACTCCGACGGAAGGACCCCACATGATAATCTCTTTAGCTTGCATGGGGGTATCCTCCTGCCCCTTCCCTTCTCCCACCTACTCTTGCCTCCTCGTTCTCCTCCTGTCTGCTCCTCCTCCTGCCTCAACCCCTGCCTCTTCCTCCTCTTCTTGCCTCCTCCACCTCCTCCCCCTCCCCCTCGTTATGCTTCCTCCCCCCCATTCCCCCTGCCCCTCCTGCCTCCTGCCTCCTCCTCCTGCTCTCCCTCTCCCTTCTCCTCCTCCTCCTCCTCCTCCTCCTCATCCCCTGTCCTCCTCCTCTCCCTCTCCCTCATCCGCTTCCTCCTCCTCCTCCTCCTCCTCCTCCTCCTCCTCTCCTCCTCCTCGTTTCCATATTCCTCCCCCCTCCTCCCCCCCCCTCCTCCTCCTCCTCCTCCTCCTCCTCCTGCCTCCTCCTTAGGCCTCCTGCCCCCTCCTGGGGCCTCCTGGGGCCTCTTGGGGCCTCCTGGAGCCTTCCGGGCCTTCCGGGACCTACTGGGGCCTCCTCGGGCATTCCTCCTCCTCCTTTTCCTCCTCGTCCTTCCTCCCCTCAGCCTCTTCCTCCTCCTGCTTTCCTGTCTCGTCCTGCATCATCCCTCCTCCATTTCCTGGCAATCCTCCTCCTCCTCGTCCTCGTGCGGAACACGACCCAGAGGAAGCGCACGACGTGCGTCCCAGCCGATACGCGCCGGAGGACGACCCAGAGGAAGCGCGCGCCGGAGGATGACCCGGAGGAACCACGTGAGCTGCGGGACCCATAGGAAGGCTCCCGCCTGACGCGTCCTCACAATTCACTCACAGACGAGGGTCCCGCTTGATACTTCTTCCAAATTCAGACCTGAGGAACCCAAAAGTGACGACAGTTACAGGAATCCGATGACCCGCTCGGATTAGTAACATGATCTGCGGGCCCCATAGGGAGGGGGCTCCCGCCTGAGACTTGCTCGCAATTCACTGACAAACGAGGCTCCCGCCTGATACTTCCTCCAAATTCAGACCTGAGGAGCCCAAAAATGACGACAGTTACAGGAATCCGATGACCCGCTCGGATTAATAACATGATCTGCGGGCCCCATAGGGAGGGGGCTCCCGCCTGAGACTTCCTCACAATTCACTCACAGACGAGGCTCCCGCTTGATACTTCCTCCAAATTCAGACCTGAGGAGCCCAAAAGTGACGACAGTTACAAGGAATCCGATGACCCGCTCGGATTAATAACATGATCTGCGGGCCCCATAAGGAGGGGGCTCCCGCCTGAGACTTCCTCACAATTTACTTACAGACGAGGCTCCCGCCTGATACTTTCCTCCAAATTCAGACCTGAGGAGCCCCCAAAAGTGACGACAGCTACAGGAATCCGATGACCCGCTCGGATTAGTAACATGATCTGCGGGCCCCATAGGGAGGGGGCTCCCGCCTGAGACTTCCTCACAATTCACTCACAGACGAGGCTCCCGCTTGATACTTCCTCCAAATTCAGACCTGAGGAGCCCAAAAGTGACGACAGTTACAGGAATCCGATGACCCGCTCGGATTAATAACATGATCTGCGGGCCCCATAGGGAGGGGGCTCCCGCCTGAGACTTGCTCGCAATTCACTGACAAACGAGGCTCCCGCCTGATACTTCCTCCAAATTCAGACCTGAGGAGCCCAAGAAGTGACGACAGTTACAGGAATCCGATGACCCGCTTGGATTAATAACATGATCTGCGGGCCCCATAGGGAGGGGGCTCCCGCCTGAGACTTGCTCGCAATTCACTGACAAACGAGGCTCCCGCCTGATACTTCCTCCAAATTCAAACCTGAGGAGCCCAAAAATGACGACAGTTACAGGAATCCGATGACCCGCTCGGATTAGTAACATGATCTGCGGGCCCCATAGGGAGGGGGCTCCCGCCTGAGACTTCCTCACAATTCACTCACAGACGAGGCTCCCTCTTGGTGGATGATGGTGATGGGATGATGACGACGGTGTTTGATGATGATATATGATTGATGATGATGATGATGATGATGATGATGATGATGATGATGATGATGATGATGATGATGATGATGATGATGATGATGATGATGATGATGATGATGATGATGATGATGATGGTGGTGGTGGTGGTGATGATGACGACGTGATGATGATGATGGTGGTGATGATGAGTGCTGATGGTGAGTGATCGTGCGATTCTGATGGTAAATGGTGGTGATGATGATGATGGGGACGAAGTGGTGAGTCAGCGAGTAGTGATGATGATGATGATGATGATGATGATGATGATGATGATGATGATGATGATGATGATGATGATCGTTCGATGCCGATGATGGTGAGTGATCGTGCGATGGTGATGGTGATGCTGATGGTGATGATGATGATGATGATGAGTGGGGAGTGATGGTGATGGTGATGATGATGCGGAGGAGGAAGCAAAGAGGAGCAGAGGAGAGGGAGGAGGACGAGAGATCCTGCGCGGAGGGTGTGCAGAGAAAACAAGAACCCCACTTAGGATGTGGGGAAAAACGAAATCGAAACGAAAACGGCCCACGAAATCGCCAAAACACCGTTTAGGTCCAGCCCCGATGTTCAGCATGGCATCGTTTCCAAGACGCCACACTTGGCCGACGGGCACTGACAGTGCTCAGAAGGACGATCGTGATGTACCGTACCGTGATGCATCGCCCTCCCCGGGCCCTCCCCCCTCCTTCCTCCCCCTTCCCCCCCCCTCCCGCCCCCGCGCGCCGCTGTCGTGTCGTCCCTCGTCGTCGTGTCTCCCTCCCTCGCCACAGGGCTCCTCTCGGCTGGTAAAGAAATGATTGTGCGGCCCGGACCGCGTGCCGCCTCGCCCCCCCCGCCAGCCCCCCCCTCCGCCCCCCTCTTCGACCGCAGCTCTCTGACGCTGAGCGTCTTCGATGGGTTACAAGTGGACCTAGGACAGAAGAACGTCTTCAAGAACGTCCTTCAAGAATCCTCCTCCTTCTCCTCCTCCCTCCCCCTTCCCCGCCTCCTCCTCCTCCTCCTGCTCCTCCTCCTCCTCCTCCTCCTCCTGCTCCTCTTCCTCTTCCTCCTCCTCTTCCTCCTTGTCCTCCTCCTTCAAGAACGTACCCTGCCAAGGATGCACAAGAGGAGCATCCAACAGACACGAATAGCCTCAGGGTACCCTCCCCGAACCGACCTCGATCATATACCTCGGTCTGACGATGTGGAAAAAGGTACTGATACCGCTACTCCCCGGACCTCTCCCAGGGTGCGCTCTGACCAAAAATTCGAGGCGAATCCAGCGGTGACGACGAGGGCCTCCGAGGAGGCCAAACAGAAAGGGAAGCGGGAAGGGTAGCGGTATGGGTACTTTTTCCTCCTCCGATACTCTTCTACCTCGGTCCGACGGTAGAGGTGATGCCTGGCCTGAGGTGCCCCGACGCACGGCCGCCGTAGCGCGACCCGAGCTCGAAGCAGAGCCTCAGCATCAGCCGGTTGCTCACGGCCCTGACGCCCTGCGCCTCTGCGGGGGGGCCCTCCCCCCAGAAGAGGGGGCCCCCGAGGAGGGGGGCGGAGGACCACGCCGCATCGCCGATGCCTCGGCGTGAAGAGGATCTCACGCAGCCTCGTCCCCACCACGGAGGCGCTGTGGTGGCCACTGGACCCGGACCTCTGCCCGAGCGTGCCCCCCGAGACCGGCGCCCGGAAGCGCCCGAGTCTCTGGCTCGAGGCCAAGACGATGCTCGAGTTCGGTCACAGGTTCGGCCACGCTGCACTTTCGGCCACGACTTCGGGCACGCGTTCGGTTGCCAATGTTTGTTCGGTCACCTGCCTTTTGGGCTGATAGGGTCCGGCTGCCATGAAACATCGGCCTCCACATCGAGCCGCATCGCCGACGCATCGGCGATACGGCGCGATACTCCGGCCCCATCGCCTCTCGAGGGGCCCAGAACGGTGCGGCGACAGACCGTGCGGTGACTTCCGAATCCAAAGGTTCCCCCCACTGCAGAGCCCGTCAACGCACGGTGCTGGGACCTTGGCAGGCCCCATTTCGAGACCTTCTCGAAGAGCGACCCAAGTCCCAAAACCGTGCGGTCGACCACCACCCCGAATCCCCACCGACTCTCCACAAGGCGAGGTCACCGCACCGTTTGGAGGCCTTGACACTCCAGAAGCCTTGCCCAGCTTTGTGCTGCAGCCGCGCAGGTTGTGCTTCAGCTCGTCCAGGATGCTGGCCTTCAGCGTTGACGATAGGAGTGGACTGGCTCAAGGGGTACGTGGGCCATGGGAGAATATCTACCTTGAATCGGCGTTGCATCGCCCATGGATCAGAGGTAGATCCCCGATACCCAGATCCGCACGCTTCTGGGCCTGATGGGCTATGGGGCCCCTATCGGCAATGAACGGGCGACTCGGGATCAATGCGTCCCCCCTGAGACCATTGGATGGGCCCTACCCCCCTCACGTTGCCCCCCTGGCTTCGGACCACAACTCGGCTTTCCGGCGGCCGTTCGGGACGATTCGGGCACTCCTGGAACGCTCTCGGCGAGGTGCAGCTGCTGAGGGCACCCCGCGGGCTGGAAAACCGCGGAGAACCGCAGAAGACGCCTCGAGCCCCGAGGCCCCCCTGACCCTAGTCCTCCCCTGAGCCCATCCCCCCAAACCCTGAGTTCCGACGGCGTTCCGACGGCGCGATGCAAACCGAGACAAAGCCGCAAATCACGGCCGGACCTCTCGACCCCATCTGTCTGCGGCATTCTTCGAGCCAGATCACGCTCTGATCGCCCCGAGGCCCGAAACCTGTTGCGAGAACGCCCGGCTCGAGCAAAAACTGAGACGCCAGGATCCTGGGGAACGTTGCCCCCGAGGCCTGCTTGCGGTGCCACATCTGCTCGACCGCCCTCGCGAGGCGCTCGCCGACGCCCGCGTCGAGCACCAGCGGCGCCTCGCCCGTCTTCCGGTCGAGGCCCGCGTGGCCGGGGGACTGGAGCTGGCGGCCCGCCACCTCTCGGCCGCCGGGCAGGGGAGGAGCTCCCCGACACCCCTCGGTGGCGAGCGATGGGGGGAGGTGAGGAGGGGCGGGCCTCCTCAGAAGGCTCGGGAGGCCCCTGGCCTTCTGAGAGGTTTCCCGGGCCTTCCCCGAAGACTGAAAAAACTTCTCGGAAGGCGGGAGGGTTCCTGAGAAGTCCCGCCGCCTTCTGAGAAGGCCTTCTCCTTCTCATTTCTCCCCCTCGCTCGCTGCCGAACCCTGGCGTCGTGAAGCATGATCGACCCACGGGCCCAGACAGGGATGCAGAAGTGTGAAGCATGGCATCGCTTTCAAGACGTCGAGCTTGGGCGACGGGCAATGACGGTGCTCAGAGAAACGATCGTGGAGTACCGTGCCACGGGCTGTGCTGTACTGCGCCGTGCCGTGCCGTGCTGTGCTGAGCTCAACGTGTCACGCCGCGTTGAACCGTGCCGCGCCCTATTGCATTGTGGATCAAGCCGTCCTTGGCGTCAGAATCGTGGCCGAACTGCTGTGGACCTTAACCTCACACTACCTGAACGCATAGCTCGAGCTAGTTCTAGTCGAGACGCGCGGGGCGCTCGACCAGCTCGAGCTCCAGATCCGATTCAGTTTCGAAGCCATTGCCCGAGACATTCCAGTTCCGCAGCGGAGCGAACCGAGCGCGACCACGACAGGTGGGGGAGAAACATGCGGGGCGTTCAACCAGCTCGAACTCAAGATCCGATTGAGTTCCGAAGTGGGACGAACCGATCAAAGGGCGAATCCGAACCGAAACGAAAAGCACCGAGACGACGACAAGGCCCCCGCTGGACACCGCCGCAAACACTGGAAAACACCAGCGTCTCGCGAGAGACATCCTCAGTACATCTTGCAGAGGGAGCCTTTCGCTGCAGGCGAGGACCTCGCTCGAGACGTCATCAACAGGCCCTGCATAGCGAGCGTTTCGCCCTAGACATCCTCAATCCATACTCCTGTTAGCGATCAGCGCCTGGGCGGCCGGGGCACGGGAAGACCCGCGCTTCGCTCGAAACACCCTCAACACATCCTCACGTTCAATACCTGCCTGGGCAGCGTGGAACAACCGTGGCACGTGGAAACACGTGGGAGTCTTTCGCCCCAGAGCGGAACGAGCGTGCAAACACGCAGGTCTCTCTTGCCGCAGAGCGGAGCCAGCGTGAAGCTACGCGGGTCCCTTTCGCCCTAGAGCGGCGCAGACGTGAAGTTACGTGGGTCCCGTTCGCCCCAGAGCGGAACAAGCGTGAAATCACATGGGCCTTTCTCGCCCCACAGAGCGTAGCAGGTGTGAAAACACGTTGTTCCCTTTCGCCCCAGAGCGGGGCAAACGTGAAGATACGTGGGTCCCTGTCGCCCCAGAGTGCAATACGCGCCTCGTCCTCCTCCTCCTCCTCATCCTCCTCCTCCTCGTCCTCCTCCCCCTCCTTCTCCTCTCCTCCTCCATCTCCTCCTCCATCTCCTCCTCCATCTCCTCCTCCTCCTCCTCCTCCTACTCCTCCTACGTGGGCCTCGTCCAGGAAGCCCCAGGAGGTCTCCCCGGAGCCCCACGTCGGAACGTGCCAGACGACTATGCATCTATTGTGCCAGTTCGCTGAATTTGCTCCGCCAGGTCGCCCCTGGTGGCCAGGACGCGTGTCCGCAAGCCACGCACCAGGTCATTCACTTTAGGTCGGGCATGTCCTCCTACAGGCGGATCTTGGACGCAACATAAGATAATATGACCCCAGTGCGATCCTACCTAGAAGTTGGAGCCACTAGGAAAGCAGCATTAGTTGCTATGCTATGCTATGCGATGATATGCTATGCCATGCTATGCTGCGCTATGATTTGCTATGCTATGATTTGCTATGATGCGCTGTGCTATGATATGCTCTGCTATGCTATGCTATGCTAAGCTATGCTGTGTCATGCTGCGCTGTGCTATGCTAAGCTATGCTATGTTATGCTATGATATGCTAAGCTGCGCTATGATATGCTATGCTATGATATGCTCTGCTCTGCTATGCTATGCTATGCTGCGCGGTGCTATGCTGTGCTGTGCTGTGCTGTGCTGCGCTATGCTATGCTATGCTATGCTGCGCTATGCTGTGTTATGCTGGGCTTTGCTATGATATGCTGTGCTACGCTATGCTGTGCTACGCTTTGCTATGCTATGCTGTGCTCTGCTATGCTAAAGCTCAGCGAAGCTAAGATGAAGGTAAGCTAGCTAAGATAAACCCGAGCTAAGATGAACCTAAGCTAAGCTAAGATGAAATAAGCTAAGCTAAGATGAGATAAGCAACGCTAAGCTAAAGGGACGTAACTGGGGGGACCGCGGGGCGGATACTGGGGGAACCGCCCGGGGCGTGCCCCACTGCCCGGCCCTTTAAGCAAACCGAGTAAGAACCCTTCTAGGCAGAGCCTAGGTAGGGAACTAATATTCACATTTCTACTAAAAATTAGATTGCGAAGACTAGAAACACGCTGCTCAGAATACTACGAATGCTACAACTCATCATCATCATACTCATACAGAACAGATGCAACCAAGAAGATGAATACCAAGAAGAGGAAACACAGTAACACGACTAAACCAACACGAATCAATTGAGCACACAAAATCGCCACATGTCTAGTTGAAAACTATTGTTGGATATTCCTCCTGTAGAGAGACACCCCCGACTTCAAATTAACTCCAGCGAAATGGTATTTGGCCGGGCCTCGAACGCCAGCTCGTCCGCCGGGGGGAGCAGGCCGTCCTGTTGGCGGCGGAGCGCGAGCCCATGGGGCAGACGAAGCGGGGGGGGGATGGCCAGGGGGAGGATAGCTATCTTCCCCGTTTCGTCCGCCTCCTCCTCCTCTTCTCACTACTATTAGTAATACTGTCCTTCGTCATATTATTGTTATTCTTCTCATTCGTCTTATTATTATCATCCTCCTTCGTCTTCCTCTTCATCTGTTCATGATTATTAGTTTTCGTTTTCTTCGTCTGTTTCCTCTTCTTCCTCTTCTTCCTCTTCTTCCTCCTCTTCCTCCTCCTCCTCCTTCTCCTCCTCCTCCTCCTCCTTCCTCCTCCTCCTCCTCCTCCTCCTCCTCCTCCTCCTCCTCCCTCCTCCTCCTCCTCCTCCCCTCTCCCCCTGCCCTCCCCCTCCCCCTCCCCCTCCTCCTCCTCCTCCTCCTCCTCCTGCTCCTCCTGCTCCTCCTGCTCCTCCTGCTCCTCCTGCTCCTCCTCCTCCTCCTCCTCCTCCTCCTCCTCCTCCTCATCCTCGGGGGAGTTCGCGCACAGCCGAGAACGTAAGGTTTCAGTGGGGGGGGGGGGGCTGGGAAAGGGGAGGCCTTCGCATCTCTCCCATCCCCGCCGCCCATCGAGTTGCCTGAATCGTTGATGGGTCAGGGTAGGGTTCGGACTTCGCCGCCGACGAAACACGACGTCGGAGGTCCTGGCAAGCTAGCCAAGGGGGCGGGGCGGAGGCGGGGGTTGGGGGCCATCTCAGAAGGGCTCGAGAGGCTTCTAAGCTGCGATGCGATGCGATGCGATGCGACCACCGTTTCGGACAGTGTCTGGGCCCAGCTCAGACCAGGTGAGCGACGAAAAGAAGCGGGTCTTACGCGCGATGACAAAGCGACCTCACGCACTGGCGTACGCGGGCCGCCAACGCAGCACACTGCATCGGACACGAGGGCGCTTACGCACGCGCGACCTTGCCAGGGAAGCTCGCGCGTGAATGTCGGCGCAGATGGAACCGTTTTCGTCGACACCCAGGTGGGTGAGGCCTAGCTCGAAGGGCTTCCAGAAGAAGACCTTCGGGGATGGACAAGAACCCCCTTTAGTAAAACGTGGTTTAGTGAAAACGACCTCGGGCTCAAACCTGGCGGGCGCAAGCCTGGAAAATGACGGCCGCGGCGCCCTCTCGAAAACCGAATACGGACAATGCACTAATCGACGCGTCAGGGTGGGGGTTCTGGCCACCACCCCCGAGACTTCTTGGAAGGCCGGGGGCCCTCTGAGAAGCCCCCCCCCGGCATGTGCGAATGCCACCCCTCGCGACACCCCCACTCCCCAGACCCTCGGCGCCATGAATTTTTGCCACTGCGTGGGCCAAGATAATTTCGGCCACGCGCAGAAAGGGGGACAGGGGGAGGGGGGAAAGGCTCCTTAGAGAAGCACCCCCGGTTTCTCTGAGGGCGCGGGCCTTCTCTACACAGGTGGGGCTGGCACCTTCTAAGAAGCAGTCCCCTTCTAAGAAGCCTTCCTCCTCCCCCCCCTACCCCCCTGTGCGCGCCGCCTAGAGGTCCCGACCAAGCCCCAGGGACCAGCTTTGCGTCCCGAGTCGTGTCTGATGGCCCCAGGGTGACGAACGAGCAACACACACCCATGCCCACAGGGGGCTCGTTGGGAGGAGGACTGGCTATGGGTATGGCTGCGGGTTGTCGGACCCTGGGGAACGCTCCCGTTCGGGGACCCCCATCCGACAACACGCACCCATAGCCCTCTCCGACCCCTCTATGGGTACGGGTGTGAGTTGTTGGCTCGTCACAGGGCCCCGCAAGGCCCAAAGAGCGAGAGAGAAGGAGAGAGAGAGAGAGAGAGAGACCGAGCACAGCAGAACTACCAGCCGTGGCTTCGAGCCACGACTTGCGGTGCTCTGGGCCTGCGCACCCCCCGATCACGCCGCACCGCCGCTGCCCCGGCAAATGCGGCGTGGCCCTCCGGCCCCGCCCGGCTGCTCCCGTCGGCCCCGCACGCGCACCGCCCGGAGTCCTTGACGCGCGTAAACGCCAACTCCGTGGCCTCCTCCAGGGACGCCCGGACGCCCTCCAGCTCGCTCTCGTCCAGGCCGCACTCCTGCAGCGACGCGGGCGGGAGGGGGGGGGAGACACGGAGCCAGGACGGAAAATAGAACCCAGCCTGGATGCAGATCTATGGAATCCGGCGGTTTTGGAGGATGTGTCGGGCGCCGCGGGCTTTGCGGGAGCGTTCCGGAATGCCTGTCTTGGGCCCGCCCGACGGACACCCAAGGTGCACAGGCCCCCCCCCCGCAGATGGGATGGGCCCCAGGTTCCCACAGCCCTCCCAAGTGGAATGAGGGGGACGACGACGACGACAACGACGACGACGACGACGACGACGACGACGACGACGACGACGACGACGACGACGACGACGACGACCACGACGACGTGTTTCGACGTGTTTGAACGGCGCCACGGCGGGGCCAGCGCGCGCTGCGCCCCGCGGCCGAGCCGTGCGGGTGGCAGCTCCGCACGCACCGCTCAGAGGTCCCTCCCTCCTCGGCGGGCCCCGCAAGGCGCCCGCCGCCTGGGCCCGCCGTCGCGCAACTGGCCTCACCTCTCCCCTGGCCTGCGCCCCCCTCGAGCTAGCCACCTGTGGCTGCGGCTGCCCTGCAGCGCGCGGCAGCCCTCGCGCTCGGCTCGGCGCGCCCACCGCGTCCCAGCCGTGGCCGCACGGACCCCGCAGCGCGCGGCCCCGAAGCTCCCTGCCTCTCCTCCCCTGGGAAAGCCTCCTGCCCTCGCGCAGCCTCCGCCTGGGCAGCCCTCGCCATCCTGGTTTAGGCCAGCATGCCCTCCTCGTCGACCACGCAGGCCTTGATGACGTCGCCTAGCGGCCTCAGTCGCATGGCCCCGCCGTAGGCATTGGGGTCTACTTCAGCCTCGCGCTCTTCGCTTCGCCCTCTCGGAACGATCACCTGCCCCTGCAGCTGCTCGCCAGCCGCTGCCTCAAGCTCATGCCAGAGATCTCTTCCGACACAATCTCTGACATCGCACCTGCACGCCCGCCTGCAGGGCAGCGGGTGCAAGTCTTCCCTGTGCCTCCTGAGCTGTTCCTTGCAGTCCTTGCTCTCGCCTCAGCACTCTTGAAAGCGCAGTTCACCTCGCCTCCTCTGGACGGCCAAGCGGCCTCGAGCCTCATTGGCCACGCACCTTCGGCGCGCCAGTCCCATCTCGCCGTCGTCGCTCTTGTACTCCACCAGGAGGTGCCCGAGCCACCTGATCACGGGTCTGAGGCTTTCCTCCTCAGGCCGCGCGCCTCCTGCATCTGTGTCAGCCTCCTGGCGCGCTTCCTCTGCCTCCTCCTCCTCCTCCTCCTCCTCCTCCTCCTCCTCCTCCTCCTCCTCTGCTGCGTCGCAGACCCTCTGCAGCTCGACAAGCATCTCCACCAGATGACCGCCTCGCTCGGGATGCCCTCCGCGCCCACAGCTTGGGACTGCCACCGGGCTGACGACTGACCTATCCACCTCGCCGTCTGCTTGGCAAGTGAATGCGCTCCGTCTGTTGCGAGCGCCCTCTGCGGCCAGTGGCCCCAGAAGCGCGCCCCCTCCTTGGCTCAAGAGTCAGCTTCCTCGTTGCCCTCGGGCGCCCACCTCCTCTCCGCGTCGGCCGCGCACTCCGACATCGACCTGCGGGCTTCACCCATTGTCGCGCGGACCTCATCCTGGCCGCCAAAATCGAGCCGCCACCTCTTCCAAACATGCCTCCTCGACGCTCCTTTGGCCAGAGCCCTGTCGATGCCGGCCCGGTCGTTATCCCGCCGGGGCGCGCGCAATCGCCGAAGACCCCCATCGTCTCCGGCGAGCAGCCCGACACGATGAGGAACGCGTAGTTCCCGCCGCCCCTGGCCAGCTGCATCGGGGCCCACGCCTGCGGCACCGCGCCGCGCTCCGCGCCAACAAGGACCTGGCCCGCCTCTCTGTGCTACACGTCGGGCCCGCCCCGCCCCCAGCCATGCCCAGCCGCCCAAGGGCCCTGCCCTGGAGGGCGCCCCCCCCCCCCCCGCCCCCCCCCCCCCCCCCCCCCCCCCCCCCCCATCTTCACCCGGCGGACCTCTACCTCTTGCCTCTCATGCGGCATCGACGCCTGCGTGGCCTCAGAGAACAGGCCTCGCGCGACCCCATCGCCAGCCTCCTCGCCTGGCCCCGGCGCCCTCCTCGCCGCCTGCAGGTTCGCCTTTGGGCAGACGCCCCTCCTGAAGCTGAGCGCCGCGTCGCATCCGAAGTGCCGATGCCGAAGCGTGCCTCTCTGCCTCCTGCACCTCCTGCAGTTGCCCTTCGTGGCCAGGTGGCCGCGGCCTCGCCTGCGCCCGCGCGAAGCCTCCAGCCGCGCGCCTTAGCGCGCCCTCATGCTCAACGCCCCAGGTCTCAAACTCCTCCTCGGCCATCAACTCCTCGATGTGCTACCAGTGCGCGTGGCCCCCCAGGTCGACCTCCTGCCTTGGGCCGGCAGCGCCTTGGCACCCCTTCATCCACCTCGTTGCCCCCCCCACCTCGCCCCAGCCATCTCATGCCGATCACCTCGCCCGTCGACATCTGGAGCTCGAAGGCCGGCGGCGTCGCGACTCCTGATCTCGCCGTGGTCAGGCGCATCGCGTCCGCTGGGCGCACCGATCCTGCCCGCGGCCACTGCGTCTCCAGCAGCCTCGTCGCCTGCGGCCAGCACTTCCCCATCTCGATCCTGGGCAGCGCCCTGGTCGGCTCCGCCGCGCGCGTCGCCCGCGCCCTGGCCGCCCCCGCCGCCGCCGGCCCTCCTGGGTCGCGCTTCCTTCCCCATCGCAACGCTTATCCTGAAGCATGCCACCGCCCCTCCTGACAGCCCCCCTTCTGCCTTCGCGACGTGGGTCTGGTCCGCGACGCCGATGGCCCCCGAGCCCCACAGAGCTGTCGCCGTCGGGCTGCCCATCTGCAGGTGCCCGCTGGTCGCCGCCCCCGCAGCTCGGAGCGCCTGTGCGAGCGGTGCCGCCTTGGCCGCCCCGGGCCGCCTCGCGCCCCGCTCGCCCGCCCTCGGACTTGAGCAGCCGCCAGCGTCGCAGCCGAGGTTCCTGGCGCCCGAGGCCCTCTCATTCACGATGCCTCCTTCGCGAGGGTGAGCTTCGGGGCCCCCGCCGTCTCCTCGTCGCCCGCCACGAACGCGGCCCTGTGCCGGGCTACCACCAGGCCCTTCGCCTCCAGCAATTTGTCTGAGCATGGCCTCTGGCAGCGGTCTCCCCACCTCCTCTGCTATGCCCGCCGACAGCACCACCGCGTTGTCGACCGCGTTCTGGCACCTCGCTAGCGGGCACCCCCTGAGCAGCGCGCGCGGGGCCCAGTGCATCAAGACCTTCGCAAGCCATGCCCTGTCGCGCACGAGCAGCCCGCCGCCAGCGGCCCGCGCGCCCTCCAGCTCGTCGCTGACCGCCCAAGAACACGTCGCCCTCCTCGGCACAAGGTGGCTCGCGCGGAGCAGGCGCAGAAGCTCCAGCTGGAGCCCGGCCGTCTCGCCCTCCGGCAGCAGCGCCTTCTGCGAGACGAGCTCGCAGAATTTCGCCAGGTCCACGAGCCCCGCGCCGCGCGAAGCCCGCCCTCCTTGCGCGGCAGGCGACCAGGTTGGACGACATCCCCGCCATTTCGCAAAACTTCGAAGAAGGCCCCCGAATTGCCACTGCCCCTCCAGCGCACCTCCAGGCCGCCAGCGGCTGCCAGATCGCGAACGCCGGCAGGTGGACTGGCCCGAGCCCTCCGTCAGGCTCTGGCAAGAACGCCGTCGCCATGCGCAACAGATCCATAGGCCTTGGGCTCTTCTCCCACGCATTGAAAATCCCCGCCGACCTGTCGCTGCAGCCGTCGGGCAGCTGCCTTGGCAGCCGCGGGCAGAGCCTGCCCCGCCTTGAACCGCTGCGCCTCTGGCGGCGGCCTAGCACAGCTCGAACCTGGTCGCCAGTGATCGGGCGCAACCACCAGCCCTTCTGCCAATCCCTCGGGCAGATGTCGAACTTCTCGGCGGCCGCGGCGGCGAACGCGCCGACAACGATTACCCCCCCCTGTTTCCCCCCGCCCATTCGCGGGCCATGCTCGGGCCCGCGAGTCCCCGCCAAAGATCCACGGCCTCCTCTGTCCCCTGACCTCCGCGCTTATCTCCTCGAGCAGCTGCGGGTTCCCCGCGAGGCCCGCTGAGTGCCCCAGGTGGACCGACGCCATGAGCACATTAATCTCCATTCCGATGTCCACCTGCGTCGCCACTCGCCTGTGGCCACAGTGCTGGAGCGACCTCACCCGCCCGCAACATCTCGTCCTCGTCGTCAGCATCGCCGCGCCGCCGCTCGACTCGAGGGGCCCTGCCCCCGTCGCCTCCGCCTCGCCTGTCGCCGTCTTCCAGGCCCTCCTCTTGGCCCAGGCGACGGTCCTGCTCGGCGCCCGCTACGTCTTGCCGCGGCGCTCCGGCAGCGTCGCTTGCCCGGGCATCGCTAGGCCTCCGCCCTGCGCCTCCTCCAGCAACCTTGTCGCCGAGCTCCAGCTGCTGGCCATGGCCGCCCAGGCGATGACCTCGCCGTCGTGCGGGGCTTCTCTCCACTTACCTCTGCCCCCTCTGCCCGCTGCCTCCCTGCGACCCTGGCCGCTGCCATCGGCGGCCCCCATCCTCCTCTCGGGCCCCCTCCTCCCGCCGGCCCGCCGCGGCCGCCTGACCTGGGCGCCTGGCCCCCGAAGACCTCCGCGCCGTCCTGCTCGATGGTCTCGTCGGCGCCATCGCAGCCCCCCCATTGCCCTTCCGTTGCAGGCTGGAACTTCGGGCGCGTGCCCCGCCCGGCGCCGGGGCAATTTATCCCGGGGCGCCTCCGACTGCCTGGCGCCGCGCATGGGCCGTGGAGTTGCCGCCCCTCGCGCCGCCCCCCTCGCCGAGCGAACGTCCTCGTTGGTAGCCGCCGCCCCCTCCCGGGCCTCCTCGCCTCGCCCTGGGATCTCTGGCCCCTGGCAGCCGCCTGAACTCCACTCTCGTTTCGTTGCGCCGGCGCACGTGCGCAGCGACGAGCGACTCCGCGACGCGGGCGGGGGCGGGGTCCAGCCGGTGCGTGCCCGGGGCCCCAAAGATGTCCGCGGTCGCCTCTCTCTGCGTTCGCCCCCAGGCCTCCGCGCGCGCGCCCGCGGCCGCGCCCCTGAGCGCGCTAGCCCCTCTGGCTGCCTCGCCCCCACCCCTGCTGGCTGGGGCCCTCGGCGCCACCTCCGCGCGAGCCGCGCGACGTTCAATCCACCCGCCTTCGTGGCCCATCTCCCCGCGCGCCCCCGCAGTTGGTCCGCTAACCTGGTCTCGCCCGTCGCCGCCGTCAGCGGGTTGGGAGGCATGTCCCTCGGCTGCCCAGCCTCCGCTGCCCCCCTTGCCTCGCAGCTCCCAGCGCCGCCAGCGCTGCGCCCGGCCCGCGGCGACATCGAGACTAAGGCGTTCCCCGCAGGGGCTCCTCCAGGATGCCCAGCAAAACTTGGCGACCACGAGCCTGGCTTGTGACCGACGCTGGGGGCTTCCCCAGGATTTGGCCCGGCCCGCGCGCGCTGCCGCGCGGGGCCACGCGCTCCCTCCTCAGCCTCGCCCTCCATCTGCGCCATGAGCCTGTCCACCCTCGCGACGACGTCGCTGCCGTCGCAGCGCCCGCCGAAGCCGCCAGCGTCGAATGGGCCCTCCACCTCCGCGCCGCCCTCGCCGGACACGCTGGCGACGACTGGGCCTTCTACCTCGCCGCTGCGCCCCTTTGTCCCCTCGCCGCTCAGGGGCTTGCCGAGGCCGACCTTCGTGCCCTCGCCGAACTCGAAGTCAAAGTCCTCGCCGCCCGACGGCGCCGCGCGCCCTGGGTCGAGCCGCGCGCCCCGAACTGCCTGCCAGTTCGAACGAGCGGCGCGTCGAAGCCCAGGGACCAGCTGTCGTTCGCCAGGTTGCGCTGCCAAGAAATCAAAGCGCTGGGTCCAACCTTCATTCCGAACTGATTCGGCCCCTCGGGTGAATCCTGCGTCTCCAGCTGCCTGGCCCGCAGCCCGCCCTTCCCACTCACCTCCGGCACGGCCGGGTCGCAGCGCACTGAGCGCAGCGCAGTAGGTCCCGACGTGCTCCGATGACTCGTGGGGCAGGGGACAGGATGCGAAACGCCATAGCTGCCAGCTTCAGTAGCCTTGCCAGCGCCCTAGCCGCCAAGCGCGTCCGCGTCGCCCTCGAGATTGACCCCGCTCTTTTTTACCGCGACTCTGCGGATCTCAGCATTGGTTTCCTATCGCCTCCTGAAGCGGGTCTCCTCATCGGGCTGCTCCTCCGCGGGGTCCTCCCTGGGGTCTCCTGCGCCTTCGGCTGGGGCGCCGGGCTCAGCCGCAACCTCTGCCACTCCATCCCCGCCTTCCCCGCTAGCGCGCGCCTTCCGCTGTCTGGAGGCATCCCCTGGCCTTGGCTCTGGCTTACCCGGTGTTCTGCTTGAGCTTCGCTGCCATTTGCTCTGCTTGCTGGAACAACTGCGCGCAGGCCTTCTCCGTCTCCGCCTCCCCCCGCTGTTTGACCTGCTCCATCATTGCGCTCCTGCCTTCCGCATGGAACGACCTCAGCTCCAACCTGAGGCGCATGTAATCCCCGTTAGCCTCCACATCGCCGACATCGTCGAGCTCCCGCAGCAGGTCCTCTGGCACTTCGGAGCCCGAGAACTTTTCCGTCGCCGCCGCTTTGGCCTCCTCCCCTGCTCCGCTCGTGCCTCCCGTGGCCGCCTTGGACTCCCGCGCGAACGCCTCGCTGGCCCTCCTGAGCTCGTTCTTCGTGGCTGCGTAGGCGTCCGCCGCCGCGTCCAACTCGCTCTCCACCTGCTCCACGTGCTGGCGAACCGCCCCTACCTTCTTCTCTTTGGCCTCGAGTACTCCTGCTTCGCCTTGCGCCTGACCAGTCTAGGCCTCGCGAAGGCGCCGGCTTGCGCCGCCGCCTTGGGTGGCGCCTGCGGCCTGGCGCCTGCCAGCTTCTGCAGCGACTCCAGCGCCATGGTCTGGTTACCCTTCTCGACCGCATCACCGCCGCCAGCACCGCTTCGGGCGCCAGGGCTGGGGGCGCCCTTTGCACCTCCAGCCTCCTGCCGCCGCCGCTTCTGACGGCGCCTGCTGGCGCCGCCGCCGCCTCCTCCTCCTCCTCCTCCTCCTCCTCCTCCTCCTCCTCCTCCTCCTCCTCTTTTGCGCGCCCACGGGACTGGAGTCCCCACGTCAGTGCCGCAGGCGCAGTAGCCCTGGGAACTCTCCAAGCTGTCGTCACACGCCCATTCCTGGCAGCCAGGGCAGCTCGAGTAGGTGCCTGGCTTGACCATGCCCTTGCCGCTTGCCCTTCGCGCCGCCCTTGCCATTGCCGCCGTCGCCCGTCCTCATCTGCCCCCCATGGCCGCTGCTTGCGGCGCCGCCGAGCCGCGGCGGGCGTCCAGCAGGCGGGACCCCTCGGCCACGATGGCAGCAGGCGCGCCGCGTGCCGCTGGCGGCGCGCGCGACCTTGTCTGACCGCCTCGCGCGCGGCCGCCGCGCTTGTCCCGGCCCTCGCCCCCAAGGCTGCGAACCGAAACGGCGACGGCGACGACGGCGACGACGACGACGACGACGACCACGACGACGACGACGACGACGACGACGACGACGACGACGACGACGACGACGACGACGACGACGACGGCGGCGGCGGCGGCGATGGCGGCGACGCCGACGCTGACGCCGACGCCGACGCCGACGCCGACGGAAGACGACGCCGACGGAAGACGACGCCGACCACGACGACCACAACGACGACGACGACGACGACAACGACGGCGTCGACGACGACGCCGACGTCGGCGCTGACACCGACAGATGACGACGACGACGACGACGCCAACGGCGACGCCGACGGAGGACGACGACGACGACGTTAACGACGAAGACGACGACGACGACGACAACGGCATACGGCATACGGCATACGACGACGAACCACCCCACACCCACAGGGGGAGGGGGGGGCACCGGCCACCACCACCACCACGCCACAGCCACAGGGCCACGACCCCAGGGGGGGAGGAGCGCTCCAATTCGGGAGGCCTTCGCGAGGCTCACGGGCGTATCCATCCAACGAGGGAGAAAGGGCCCGATCCCATTAGCACTGGAGGGCGGGGGGTCGAGGGGCGCCCGACCCTTGGATCATATATCCTCTCCCTTCCCCGGACATCTGCCGACATGATCTTCTCAGCGCGCGGCCTCCGAGGCCCCCACCCCTGCCCCGGGGAATAGCTTCGCCTCGGGCATGCTTTGCGTGGTCCAGGGGCCCGAGAACGGGCTCGACTCCACAGGACGCCGAAAAATCTGAGGCAACGCATGGAACCTGAAAACGACAGACCGTCGGCACCCTGGGCTGGGGAAACTGACAAGGGACCGATGCCGCCACTCCCCGGACCTCGCCTCTGACCAAAATTTCGAGACGAGTCCAGCCGTGGCGACGAGGGCCTCCCAGGAGCCTCAAAATAGCGAAAAATCAACGCCAGGGTAGCAGCACCAGTGCACCTTCCTCCTGAGCCCTGGGCTTCCGCCCAGGCCACACCGCAGCGCTCCTGGCCCTTCCCGAGCGCCTCCAGGAGCTCGTCGGCATCTCCTGGGACGCAGAAATGTACACTGCAGGCTCGGACCATTCTTCCGAGCGCCACACTGAAGCCGCCACTATACTCGAAGGATAAACGAAGGCGTCTGCGCCCAACCCCGTCCAAATCAGCGCACGCGCGGTCCAAAACGCCCCCCCTCCTCCATATCATTCTAAACAAGCATCCGCCTGCGGGGGGAGGCCCTGGGGTGATCCACCACTTCAGTTGGAATCTTGTAGTACAAGAAAATGGATGGAGCCTGGACGTCCTCAAAAAGTCTGCCCGGTCTGGCCCCTAATTTGGCCTGGCTTGGCCGCGCGCCCCGCCAGAGAGACCTCTTCAAAATGAGCGCGGCTTCGTCCGAGGTTTGACCTGGTTTCGGGCCCAACTGCAACTGACACGTCCTCACAACATGTTTGGTTTGACTCTGGGTTGGCCTGGCTTTGGCCCGGCTCCGCCTGAGACGCCCTTGGCAATGGCTTAGCATGGTTTCGGCTCTGCTCGGCGTGAAACGTCCTCACAAGCTTCGATGGTAAATCGAACTGGCGTACTGCACAAAGGGAACTACTCGCACGACGCATTGGGATGCGCTACGCTTCCTTTGACACTGAATGGAGATTCACATAGGTCGTGACGGTGTGTGACAAAAACTGGAACAATTGCACCGTGTGAAATGAAGACCCGTGGCGGTGCACATCACGACTGGGCCTCAAAACGAGGGGCGAAAGTAGTGTGGACATTGCATAGCCTACGCGCTGTGAATCTGCACGGGCGCGTTCGGCGGTGTTAGGAGAAGAAACCTTGCCGAGCTTGTAGTGCTATGCGCCCACCATTGGAGTCGCACGTCTGAACCGAGCATGCACAGCACAAACACCTGATAGTCGAATTATCGTTTCCAGCGAGGTATGGCCAGAACGCACTGCCAAGAAGCTTGAGCTACAAGATGTCTGAGCGTGCGCGTCTCCCCTGTCGGGGGCGACGCGCACATGCAATTGAACAGATGATCAAGAAGTGGATAATCTGAAGAATCTGGGCCAGCTTCCTGGAAGCTTCTTCAACCAAACCTGAGCCAACTTCCGTTGTCAACGCTGGAGGGGTGAACGCGCTCCAGAAAAAAACTGAGCCAGACGTCGGGCAGCGTGGCTGAGCAACGCTGGCCCAGCTCTTCTCTTTTCGGGAGGAGGGTGCCACCATCGGACGCTCGACCGTCGCAGGAGTATTGAGCAGGGACCGGCCGTCCCAGCATGCCTATAGTCATACCACGAACTGTGTTCTTAGAACCCAAAAATGTTCTAAGAACAAAAACAATGCTCTTAGAACATAAACCGGATGTGATAAAACGAAACAGACTCTGCCAGACATGTTCCGAGAACATCTCGTGGAGACCACAAAAGGTTCTTAGAACATGGTTTGGTGGGGCTATAGGCGAGCCAGGACGCTCCGTCACTGCTTGAACGCTGGCCCAGCTCTTCTCTTTTCGGGAGGAGGGTGCCACCATCGGATGCTCGACCGTCGCAGGAGTATGAAGGGGCCCTGGGACACACAAATAAATACACACACGTAAAAATATTCCCCATAGTTTTCTATATTTTCTGGGACTTTCGTCTTCCCCTCCACTTCCCATATTTTCCCAAATTTTCTGGGGAATCGATGAGTAATTGTGTCTGTGTGTTTTTCCCCCCCCCCGAGAGTAGGCTTGGGGGGCGCCGAGCTCCCTGGATGGCCACCCCGGCCAGGTGCTCGCGCGCCGCCTCGCGCTCCCCCGCCCGCAGCAGCGCCCCGGCCTGGGCGAGCTCCGGCCCGCCCTGCAGCCCCGCCGCCTCGCCGCGGTGCCCACGGGGGGGCGGCGCCGACGGGGGGCCGGCTTGCCGAGAGAGCCCTGGCAGCCCTGTCCTCCTCCTCCTCCTTCTCCTCCTCCTCCTCCTCGTCCTCCTCCTCCTCCTCCTCCTTCCTCGTCCTCCTCCTCCTCCTTCCTCCTCCTCCTCCTCCTGCTCCTCCTCCTCCTCCTCTCCTCCTCCTCCTCCTCCTCCTCCTCTCCTTCTCCTCCTCCTCCTCCTCCCTCCTGCTCCTGCTCCTCCTCCTCCTCCTCCTCCCCTCCTCCTCCTCCTCCTCCTCCTCTCCTCCCTCCTCCTCTCCTCCTCCTCCTCCTCCTCCTCCTCCTCCTCCTCCCTCCTCCTCCTCCTCCTCCTCCTCCTCCTCCCCTCCTCCGCTCCTCGTCTCCTCCTCCGTCTCCTTCTCCTCCTCCTCCTCCTCCTCCTCCTCCTCCTCCTGCTCCTCCTCCTCCTCCTCCTCCTCCTCCTGCTCCTCCTGGAGGACCCCCGGCGAGCCAGGACAGGATCGCGGCGGGAAGGGCTCCCCCCCCCCCCCGCGTCCGGGCCCCAGGAGGGGCTCCCCCCCCATGGGGGCATCGGGGCCGCCCGAGAACACTGCTCAGGGGATGGAGAGCCTGCCCCGGGGAAGTGCTGGGTCGAGACCTTGGGGAGTTCAGGAGAGGACCATGACGTCGGGGGTCGGGGGGGGGAGGCGTCCCGATTGTCTCGGGCTGGGCGTGTTTTCGCCAAGCCTCGGGCCTCGGGGCCCTCACAAGTCGGCCGGGCTCGAAAGATGCCGCAGACAGACGGGGTCTGTCCAGTCGTGGTCTGCGGCGGTGTCGCCATTATTCCGCGCCGTCGGAACTCATGGAGGGGCCGATGGGCCTCCCAGGTGACGGGGGGCTTCCCGAAGGCCCTCGAGGGCGCCTGGAAAGGCCTGCTGTTGCAGACGGGCGGGCTCATGAGAACCCCCCGCGGCCTTCCGAGACGCCCCGCGGCCTTCCCTCAGATCCGGTATTGCAGAAGAGTGCTACGTTGCGAAAGCAATCACGACCAGAGCACTGGGCCCCATCCATCTGTGGCTGTTTTCAAGCCGGATCCAAGTGAAACGTCCGGTGGGAACACAAATCCGTATACTGCTCAGATCTCGGGGCTCTTACCCCTCGCACCAACCGCAAATCATTGGACCATTTTCGTTCGGTTACGATCGGCAGCGACCGATCGCGATTCCAAATCGGTCGCGGCCGATCGCGACCGATTCCAACATCGAGCGAAACCTGTCGCGAACGCTCGCGACATATCGGAGACGACGCCACGACGAATTCGGTGATGACCAGTTTTGAAACTAATCGGCCGCGACCGATACCACAATTTGAAGCTCAATCGCCAGCGGCCGATCTCGTGGGCCGCGGAAACCGCCGATGGCCGCCGAAGGGCACGGACGGCCGCCAGATGGCTTCCGAGGGCCTCCGAAGCTCTCTCAGAA